GGAAGTGACATTACTTATAATTTGATATCGGAGAGCCTGAGGAAGGCTGCAAATCTGTGAGGTATATATTATGGGATGCTTCAAGAGGCTCCCCGAAGTTTCTCTTGATAAGATTATTGTAAAGCAATAGGATTTAATGTTTTGGGTTTATTGAAAAGTTTCAACTCCAGGGTCATTTTCACTTTTTTCCTTGTCCATCCAGGTCTGAATTATTTTACTCTAAAAACAATACAATCGTCTAGTGGTCGTAAAATAAAATTAATCATCAAAGCCTTCGTGAAAAACATTTGAAACTGCTAGATCTTCAACTGTACTTGGAGGAAGTTCAGAAGCTTGATTCATATCTGAGTAGGTTGCGAAACTTTGAGAAATGGCAATGTTTGTAAGGCTCTCCTCATCACTCTCGTCCACATAACCGTCACAATCATCTGATGATTCATCACAGAAACTTTCAGAGTTACCTTCAGGCTTGTCTTCTCCGCTAAAATCACCTTTACCATTAATTCAGTTGCTAACATCCTTTCCGTAAAAAGCAGATAGAGAAAAAATTGCCATGATAGAGAATGCATGAATGTGTGTGCATCACAACTTTGCCCATAAAAAAAGAAAGGTAGAAAATAAGCGTCATTACCTACGTCATTTCGCGTAAAGCTAAAAAAAAAAAAATATTTGAAGGCAATATGCTTAAGCTTTTGACGATGGACGCCACACGTCGGAAATCGTCGGGGCGTGTGCAACAATTGATCGCAAAGCAGAAACGAGACTGTCGTTTCTTACATGCTGACATGTCAGAGAGGATCTTGACTGACATGCTGAAAGGCTAGAGCATGTCAGTCAAGGATCTTGAAGGCCCTTAAAAGCTTTTCCTTTCAAATCTCTGGGAACCTTGTAACCTTTGGGTCTCTCTGCCACTGAATTCAGGGCAGTATGCAAATCTGTAGGTGTGATTTATCTGAGTGGATACGGCACCCTTGGCATAAATTATGGCTGGACGTCTGCTATCTTTGTAACACAATCAGCTTTTCATCAGGAACTGGTTCATTATAGTAGGATTTGTGCAATACTAAAATAAAATTTTATTTACAATAAGTTACCGATGTTAGTAACATGTTGGGCAGATAGCTGGTTACCTTGTAGATGTTCCAAATCATGATTGTTAGCAGCACTCATATTCATTACACAGTAATCTCTGATTGCACCATCGCACACTGTGTTTGTCTCTTCCTGCATGAGAGCCGAGGCTAGGTGCATGCATAAGCAGATACACAACAGAACCTTTCGGGGCAATTGGTGCATGCTCAAAGCTGTTGCTGACATGCTGGGTAGAGTATAGACAGTCTAGGCTTACTGCCATAGTATAGGCATTACATTTTCAACACTTGAACTGAACCTTTTCCTTGTACAGTGATGTGATTGCTGCGCCAATTGCGCCAAACTGCTTCAAGGGGCTAACCCTGCTACATCCTGCTTCATTTTGCCAAAATATGGGTAATCTGTGCCAAGCCTGAACCAGAAAACCAAATTCGGTCGCCTTTCAAATAGTACCCCGCATCAATTGTTCATCCGGTCTTGCATGGTTTTCCCGCCGTCTCGCGTTCCGCTTTCTCGTCGTCTCCTCGTGGGTCTCGTCTCGCGCCTTTTTAAAAAGTATTTTCAGCGATAGACGCGTGTGTGTGCAGGTGCTTGGATGCTAGCGTGCTGGGTAGCAGCCATGCTACCATGCTGTGAAATGAAAGAGTTTTTTTTTTTTTTTCTGCGAGAGTTACTTTGTGAGCTGGAGCATTTGCTCCTGAAAGCAAGGGACGTGGGAAAACTATATTTGGTCCCTGCCTTCCAGTCACCGTGGCTGCGCGACGTCGGGTGTTGCTGTCCCCACGTCGCTGCAGATATCGCGCTTTCTAAAATGAAACTATAAGTACCGCCGCATGTTCATCAACATTCCTGTTCTTGTTTAAATATCCATTACTACAAAAATCCCCCTTTAACCCAAAAACTGCCGTGTCAAAGTATTGATTACATAGGTTTCTCTCAGTGGGCTTTCTTTCGAAAGGGTCCTTGGTACGTAAAAAATCCGGCGCAAAAGAAAGTTGGTGAAGAGAACTGAGCTAAAGCAAAGAAGGCAATGTCTGCACGCTGAACCCGCACAGCGCGCTTGTTTGTCTCAAGTCGTCATTGCACAAAGCGCTCCAAGAATGTTTTGACCCTGGCTCGCAATGTCTTGCATCGATGCGCTCAGGTTCTTTATTTTTTGTGTGTTTAACTTGTACCTTGTTTGCTGGCCTGGCAAGCACGCGCCGCTGAACTGTTTTTTGTCATATGCTCGACAGTCACATTTTGCATACAATTTTGGGAATCAGTTGGCGACAGAGCTGAGTGGCATGGTTTCGGTTTCGATCGAACAGCCGTTGTCTCCGCTCGCGTGACGAAGCACGCGCAACTGCAAGCCTGCCAAGTTGCCCTCCTGTGCATGCGAACATGATTGCACAACAGAATCACTAGCCGGGACGCTTGCAATCCATTGTTTTACGTTTGCTTACGTTTGACGAAAACCTTGCACGTCGAGGACCAGTAAAACAGGGCAAGCAGGGTTTTGGGATTGCTCGGCAATGCCTATAGCACTGTACACTTGTGGGATGTCTCAGCAGTAAAACACAAGCAGCGAGTTCTGTCAGAACACGTCACATCAGAACAGAACACAACACAAAGTGCCCTTCGTTTGTACAGCACTTAAAACAAATATTTTTGTTTTTCTTAGAATATCTGCTCCAAACGCCACTTTTGCTGCTCCAAAAACACTGTCTTGGCCGCTCCAAAAGACACTTTCTGCTCCAAAACACCGTTTTGGTTGCTCCAAGGGCCACATTTGCTGCTCCAAAACTCTGTATTGGCTGCTCCGAAAGGTGCTCCAAAATGGTTTAGGCCAATCACATCACTGCTTGTATAAAATATGCTTGTTGAACTTGCTGCTTCTTTACAGCTCTCGCTTGCTTGGGAGACCTTCATTGTTGGTGTCAGATGATGCATTCTGTTGCCAATCATGCAACCCTTTTCTTTTTTTTTGTTTTCACGTTGTGGCTTTCAGTTACAGCCTGAGCTGTCGAAAGTGTGCACAACACTGTTAATATGCCACATCTGGGATGATGTTACAAATTACAATTTACAAATTATGAGCTGATGATGTTCAGGACTCTCAAAATGCGATGGTACCCTGTGTGACACAGTTAGTATGAACACGGCCTTGTTGCTCCCCTGCGTGTCACTTGCACAAGATATTGTCGACCATAAAATTCTACAGGCCAAGTCAGGGCCACACATAAGCATGTTCCACTGCACTGGCGATTTGGACGACTGTCGTCGTGGCGCGAGAGAAAAATATCTGAAGCTACTTGTTGCAAATTCCCGCTCGCAATGTTGCAGTGTCTACTGAGTTATTCAAGCAACTGCAGGAGTGCCTGCATGGGCACCCCTGCCGTTGAAACCCAAGAAACCAACCAATTAACCAATTCTGCTTTTTTTTCTCTCTAGGGACGGGTAATCTTGAATTGGATGATGTTTAAACATTGGGAAAAGAAGACGTGCATAAATTTTAGTGTAGCTATTTAGCAGGCACAAAATTGTTGCATCCTCTCGAGGGGGGCATCGAAAAGTTTAGGAATCTAGGCAAGTGTTTTAAAGGGGCCCTCCGGAGCATTCTGCGATGGTCTATTTATGACGGTTACTCAATCTACAGGCACTAAGGATCCTAAAAATCATAAAATTACCGTCATGCGCGGTGGAGTTTCCTGTTAAAATTGCTATCAAAGTCCCCGGCACGCCCCCCTTTCTGAGATGACCCCGGAAAACGGGAGGGGCATCCCTTTACGCGTCAGCCAATAGCAAGCGAAGGATTCCGGCGTCACTTTGCATCACCAACGCGGCCGACCGCCGACCCACGGAGGAATCTCTCGAACACGCGCGGACCGTCGTCAAGGAGCCCAGACTGCCCGGACTTTGCGCTCGGCAGTCGTTGTTCGTAGCACCGCACCGTCGCGCTGCTACTGCGATACGCAGTCGCATTCCACAGATGACAAGGAAAAGTTTGACTCGTTGACGTGGAAGGATCGCAAAGCTGGCTTCGGAGTCGGGATCCACGGGAAGAAGGAACACGTGTCCCGCAAACGCACGCCTGCGGACGCCCCGGGAAGCAGACGAGCCGACGCGCCGACGCATCACCCCCTAGCAACAAGCTTGCGGGGAGAAAACATAGTTCGCTGGTTTTGGAGCGATAATTGCGGACTATGTTTCCCGCACCACAATCAGTTTACGTTTTTCTCGAACTCTAATTTACAACAAGCTTAAAAAGTGTTGCAATAATAACGTTCGCATTCACCGCGAGATGCAGCATTTCTATTGGTCAAGTTTTAGCAATGGGCAGGGAAGGGGGGATTGTCTTCCAAGAGAAAATAGTCCCGATATATTTCTACTGCCATCTGCTTAATAAACGGTTTTGTAATCTAAAACTTTGTATACATATTAACATGCATCTACTACGCAATATAACAACATAAACAGACGATCGCAGAAAGCTCCGGAGGGCCCCTTTAAGCTAACGATGGCTTTAGGGCTTGTTAAACATGTTTGGTAAAATCAGCTTTTCCGTGAAAATGTCTTATGAATTGCTGCTCGCCATTGCCAGCTTTTATTTGAATAGTTGTTTAGTTTTAGAGAAGAAAAAAAAATGCATTGAATGTTTTTTTAAGTTCTGCTAATAAAGTGTGTTTACCTCACTTAAACATTCCAGAATCTTGACTGGGAAAGGCTATCATAAGGGTTTTATTTGTTACACTTTGTTGTTAACTATTTATTAAAGCTACTGTGCCTTATGAAGTTCTTATGTCTGTAATGTCTCGCATAAGGTGTTCTGCAGAAATATTTTTTATAAAATGTTGCGAGAATTTTGATAAAATGTCCTTTTAGTTTGGGTTGCATTCTAATAGTTTATCTTTCCTTTCTTTGTCTAGACCCCGCGGATCAATGGCAATTGTAACACCATCCCCGAGGTAAGGTTATTCTGGGGAATGTGTTTTACCAGAGCAGTCTTTCTAATATAGCTTACGCTGTCAGTTGACTTTGGGAAATGCTGCTAGTGCGAGCTAATACCGGCTGCAAGTTACCATAGTGCAAACGCACAATATATTGGGAATGGCCACGTTTCATGCCCTTGGCTTTCTGTTTAGTTGGACAGTATGGTGCACGGCCTTTAAATTAGACAGAATCGTTGCAAGCATGTATGCTAGCACAGAATGGTTTTCAGCTAAGTTTGTGATGGGCGGCCAAAACAGCTCTAAAAAAATTAAAGTTGTAAAAATGTTTATAGAGTAAAAGGTGATTTATTTATTTATTTATTTTTTGCTCTGTAGAGGCAGTTTGTAACCTTCATTGAGCAGTAGTGATCGTTACAAATCCATGGCTTTACAAGACCATTCCATGTTCAAACTGGCAAGAACAAGAATCGAATGGATATGACGGTCGAGTGATGCACATCATCAGCTCTGTGATGATGCACATTATCATATGATGGGCATTGTGTTACGATGGTGCGAGGTTTCACTTCATGTGATGCCGGATAATGATGTAACTGTACTTGGCCACTAAACCCCTTGACACTGTTAGAGGTTGTCATTTTATTGTTCAGGCTTATCTATGCCTTTCATATGTGGGTTCTGAAATTAGCAGGCAGCAGTATTTGCTCAGATATTGATTACCGTAGAATACCGTGCATCCGGCCATTCCGCACTAAGCGCCCACCCCCAAAATTTCGAACATCTGAAAAAATAAACACAGTACATATATATGTGAAATTGAGGATCTCGCATGGTCCCATCCCCTATTTTTTTGCGACCATCTTCAAATTTGGGTGGGCACTTGCTCTGTATTTTACGTTACTTGTTGTTAAAGGGGTACAAAACAAAAATTTTACCACCTATTCTATTGTTTAGCTGTTGACTACGTTGTTGGTTCACTTGGTTCAGTCCTTGGGCATCTGAAATGACTAAGTTGTAATGCATTGACGCCATCAAGTGTCACAAGCTCCTAACCACACCAGCCTTGCTATAGTCCTAACCACGCCGAGGCATTTGACGTCGCAGATGCGACGTCAAATACGAGCCAGAAGTCCGATGGCTGCTCTTCAAGTGCTTGCCGGAATCGACCGTTTAGAGCCACCCGTCTGAACTACAAACTTGCAATGGTCATTTATAGATATTGTTGATCGTAATTCACTTATCTTTGAATGTTACAAGTAAATTTAAATTTTCATTTGAGTATTCTCTGAAGTGATGCTAAGGCAGGCTAGCTGATATAGGTTTATGGTACCCTTAGACCACGCTCAAGTCTTTGCACTCTTAATAAGGAGATGTAACCTATTATCTTAATATGAAATTGGATTTAAGCCTTTCAAGGAGTTATTTTAAAGGAACTGCCTCTTGTAGAGTTTAATGTGCATATTGGTTTAGATCTCCAGGAATCTAGTATGTGGAACACAGAGGAACAAACACAAGCAAGAGTTTCTTCCTTTTTGTTTCACGCTTTAGATTCATGGAGAACAACCTCTTGTTTTTAGATTTCGGGTAATACGGATGGCCTGGTCTTTTCAGGCTCGCGTAGCTCGCACATAATATTTCTTTAACAATACAAATTCACTACGCAATATGTGATTAGAAAGTGACCCCCAAGGAATGCTGCCTCGGTGGCTCCGAGGCGAGAGTGCCGGCCTACGGATCCCCAGGTGGCGGGTTCGAATCCCGACCGAGGTGCCCGCAATATGACAAAGGCCTATTGCGGAGAAGGCGCCATGTAACCGATCTTTCGGTTGCACGTCAAAAGATCCCCAGGTGGTCCAAATTAATCCTCAGTCCTCCGCTGGGGCGTGCCCAATGCCCGTCGTAGGTTTGGCACGTAAAACCCCCAAATTTGGCCCCCAAGGAATGAGTAGCCCTTTCACTCATAATTTGTAAAGAAGCTAAACCACACTATTAATTTTTTATTGCTGAGAGTCATATTTACTGAGATAAACAAAGATAGATCAAAGCTAGGTGTCTAAATTATGTTTTTAAATTTTAGGAATGATCTTTTTTGTGTTAATTATTACTTTATTTAATAAAATATGGCTCGGGCAGCTTATTATTCCTAAACTGTACCAAGACCTCTGTTGTCATTGCAAATGGAGAGATTGGGAGAAACTATAAAATAACGATATTGACTTTTTTTTTACTCAAATTTCACTTGCAAATAGTGTTTTTTTTTTTTTTTTTTTTGTTGCATCTTCATGTGTTATATTTTAATCGAAATCTAGGTATGTATAAATGACACCTTGTTAGATGTCCTTTAGGGCTTACTGGGCAAGCAAGAAAATATTTGGTTTTTTTCCTCAATTGTTAGGTATTAGCTACATGGTCCTAGTTGTATAGATTTGTGGTGCATCAGTCTCAGCACTAGGTGGTAAGAGCAACTTTGGGGTTCTAAATCAAAATTCAGCAACTTTTTCAGCTTCCTAGGTGTAAGTTGTGCCCGAATCTAGACACAACCAGCAACCTCAAAGAGGGATCATCATCTTGAACTCTTCTTTTGATTTGAGCAGTTGTTTTAAAAGCTTTGCATGCGTCTTTGTTTGCCCCGCATGTCCGCTTGCAAGCACAAACAAAATCTCTCTTGTAGGGAAGAGCTTCACAACTTACGTAAGTAAGGGATCTGTACAAAAACAGGCTTTCGTAGGTAGTAAAAATTGAGCACCTTTTTTTTGTTTCCAGCAGTTTATGAAAAGGGTATGCACGAAACAGCTTCACACCATCTAATTGGTAGATGACGCTCCTGTCAAGAGGCAGCTTTGATTAGGCTTCCAGAGCCCTACTACTGCAATGGAAAATCGTGAGTTCAGTGCTGGTAGTTTTACATGTACAAGCTGAAGAGACGTCAAAGGACTATGAAGCCAGCCGCTACCGAGGTTGAGAGCTGCAGATCTGGGAGCTTGTCGTTCGCAAGAAAAAGTTTTATATACCGAGAAGTGCGGGTGTTGCTGCACGACATGCATTTTATGTACGTACGGCAAAACAAGAGGGCATCCCGAGCTTTGGTGCGCATTCTTTGCACTTTTGCAGTTGGCTGTTCCTGTGGACACCAAATAAGTTCCGTTTTGGTTTTGTTTCCGGCGGCTGGCAAACAAGTTCACTTTTGGTTTTGCCTCCAGCGGCTGGTAACCAGTGTTGGCTAGGTACGCCGCCGGAGGGCGCGGGTGTCCTTATAAACAGAGTGTCAGGTTCGCTTTCGGAACTAGGAACCTAGGTGCCTGTACCAAGACCGCTCGCCCGTGTAAATCCTCTTGTGCAACTGAACCAAATAAATAGCTTTTATGTATCGGACATTTTCCACTACATTCCTAAGGCTGTATGATTGAAAGGTGTAGACAGATAAGGAAGGAGGAACTGAAACGAATGTAACTGCCAACATGGTTTTGCGGTACATGATCAGTATTTATGGGATGCCACTTTAGTACGTTTGCATCTTTCACCAGAGTGCCACCTTTTTGCATTATTTTGCAAGCAGAACTCGGGTTTAGTATATTACTGTCATAAATTCTTCCCCATTAAATCTTGATTCGTGAAATTGGCAAAAATGTTGTCACCTAGAAACTTTACACTCAATATTTTCAAACAGTAATGGGGGTGCACTAAATGGGAGTTGCGACACCCCCTTGGTGGTTGCATGGCGCGCACTGAAAAATTTGAACTGTTCACTGAATTTATAAGCTAGAACTACTTTTCTTGATCCTTGAAGTGTATGAAACCCGAAAGCAGTTCACAAAGAGTTATGAACCACCTCATGTTGCTCCCGTCTGGGGGAACGCAGGAACCGGCGTGACTAGGCGGGCCCAGTGCCGAGGGAGGGAGCCATGGCGTCTGGCAGCCAGACGCCGCGTGCCCAGAACAGCCACGGCCTGAAGCAGATCGACTTGGACCAGATATGGGGGGACCTGAAGGAGGGCATCGAGCAGGTCTACACCAACAAGGAAGACAACATGTCAAAGACGCGCTACATGCAGCTCTACACGTATCCTTCTCCTTGGTGTCTCGCTGGTTTGTGGTCGTGGCAGTGTTGTTCAGGCAACACTACCGTTTTTACTCTGTGTATTCCAGGGGCATCTGTTATTTACCACTTTTTGTAGCAAACTCTAAGTAAAAAAAAAAAAAATGAAATGGCTAAAACTAAAAGGTTTGAATTAAAAAAAATTTGTATTTATCCTCAATAGTGGTTGGTGCATCCGTGAACAGTGTCGTGATTCGATTGAAGTTGAAAGGGAGATTGTTTGCTTTGAATTACGATCACAAGTCATGAAGACAGTGCTTCGTATGAAATGCAGTGATGTGATTGCTGTGCCTTTTGTGCCAAAGGGCTTACCCTGCTACATGTTGCTACATTTAGCCCAAAGGTGAGGAACTTGCACCAGCATGGCACAAAAACTTGATTTCACCTTATTGATACAACATTTTCTTTATAAGTCGCACCCTTGTATAAGTCGCACTTCCACATATTGAGCCGTTTCCGCAGAAAAGTTGGTGTATAAGTTACATCTCTTTGCACAGGTCATGCAATGAATTTGTTTGTTTTAAGCGCATCGAGATTTTGAAATTGGAGTTTCGCTCAATTGGCTAGTTTGCGCGTACCGTTTGACGTGAAACAACTTCGATGTTTGGACTCGCGAGAAATGCCCAAAGCACGGCACTGTCTGGCGGGAGCAATCGAGTGTTTTGCTGCGAAAGGACGTAAAACGCACAAAATGATAAGGTAATCGGCTTTATTCGAATACATGCTGAGCAAATGAAGGTTTGACGTGCCAGACACTCGTGAACCAGGCTTTAGACCACTAGGCCTAGCCTAGGCCAGGGCACTGAGACGACACAAGCATCAACGTGCAGGTAGATAGATAAACCTTGACGCATTTTTTTCGGTGCCGCTAAAAGATTGGCTGGCCGTAATCCTTCCTTTTACATGAAGCAACCTGGCTGGAGCATGGCTGATAGAAACTGCTCATCAAACAGAAACCAAGAAATACGCGAAAAAATGGTCTGCAATGCATGTAAATCAGCCCACTTACCTTTCAGTGTCACTGGATTGAAGCAAAAGAATACGAAACCATGGTTGAATGAGGCGACTTGCACCACATGCTCTAACAGCTTTATTCTCACTGCCTTGCCTATCTAGATTAAACGTCTTGGGGAAACCTTAAAATTTTTCTCTTTCTAAGTCAGTTATGAAAAGTGTAGAAAAGTGTGACTACAGCAGTGCCTCCTGAAAAGGGCAACACCACCTATAGCTGCATAGTTACGGTGCTCTGCGAAAAATGATGCGCGGTGCATAAAAAAAATGTTGTCATATCGTGAATATAAAAAGAACAACTCACGAGTCACATCGTTGTATAAAGCCTCATTCACAAAGCCGGCTTCTCACCCAGTCCGGGCGCGAGCACCATCAGTGTCGTGTCGAAATCGGGATGGTACAGGGACGGTGGAGTGTTCAAATGAGCAGCGGCGGAGCTGCCGGCAGTGGCTACATGATTGGATGGATGCTGGCGGCTGTTCTCTCCATATTGGATGATAGCTTGCGCCACGAAGCCTAGAAACCTTTCTGCACCTTTCAAATTCTGCGTCAAAACATTTGTACCCCGTAAGACTATAACCAGTATAACCCATTAGTCTAGTGTGCAATTTCACACTTCCCTTGATGCCTACCACCAATCTTGTAACCCCCTCTTTGTGACTGCCAAAGTGACTGGTACTTTGTGGCGGCGTCGATCACCAAATGTAGCTGACGATCGGCGTCGATGGGTGCAGCCATAACTGTTTTGTTCCTTAGAGCTCGCGTTCTGGTCGGCGATAACAATCTTGCATGTTTGAAAACATTTGTCTTCACATTTCGAAACAAAAACGACATAACCCACTGCGAGCACGTTTCACATCAATCACTCCTTATGCCACTATACTTAGGCCTTAGAGACACCAAGAGAAATGTTTGAAAAAAAACTGCAACTTATACATTGGAAAATATGGTACTGAAAATAGAATGGCTCAGGCCCCGGTACTAGTCCGGATCGTTATGGTAGGCTTGTGCAAATTTTCAGAACTTTCAGTTTTAGCCACAGATAACATACTGATAGGCTGCAATTTTCGGGAGATATCTTATTCAAATGCGGGACTTGCTTAAATATTTGAATTGCTCTGTAGGTTTATTTTCATATGAACTCCATTGCTCTGTTGTCACCCTTATATATGTTTTATACGTTTGAGGTACAGTCAGTAGAATAAATTAAAACTAAAAGTACCGTATTTACTTGCATAATTAATTCACTCGCATAATGACAAGTATCAATATTTGGACTTTTTTTTTTCCCCCCTTCCCGTAATGAACGCATTTCGAATTTTCGGCTCGGCGAGTCTCGAATTGCGTCCAACTCGCCAAGCCAATTTTCTTTTGCCTCCAAGCGGTCAGTCCAAGTCAAGCCAAGCCAAGCCATTCTCGTAATGGCTGCAAGTGCATAGTTGCGAAAGCGATCAACCGTGAAACCGAGCAGCGCACATACTTGACGAAGCTTGGGTCGAGCAATTGCCCGGTCCCGGACATTCTTCGCCTATCGGATGCATTGATGACTACAAACTCATTGTCGTCCGTGGTCCGCTTTTAGACAAGGCACGCCAAAAGTGCCTTAAAAAAGGTTAGCAATTTAGAGAGCTTGGTTACTATGGCGCTTTCACAACTAGTTGTGGATGCACCTCCATCAGTGGAGACTTGCCACAGTACCTTGCCGTGTCATATTGGCACCTAATATGACATTTGTACGAAGTGTATAAATGCAAAAATTTTACCCCACCTAATGAATGCTTCCCAAATATGTCAATTTTTCAAAGGGAAAAAGTGTGTTCATCATGCGAGTAAATACGGTAGGTGAAGCAGTAGAACGAAGCTGAGAATAACCTTAACGATTTTGGCTGGAATGTTTCATGAAGGCATACTTATCGTTCATACGGCGATTTTGTTTATTATGAGGTCCTACTACAAAATGTCATTCATTTTCATAATTTAATGACAGATTTTTAAAAATCTAAATTAACCCTTTAACTACCGCCCGCATCACGTGCCGCCGGGTTGTCCGTATTGCACTTTTTTTTCCTTAAAACAGGGCTACCCTAGGTGTTACTATTTTGCTTGTATAATAAGCTTTTACAGTCAAACTCAATGAAGAAAACATGTTTATTTACATGCTGAGTGTTTTTTTCCAGTCTACTAATTACTAGGCCTGCTGAAATTCTTGGTATGAAAGATCTTGAAGCACTTCATTCTCGGTCGCTTCGGCGTCGCAGAACCATGGCTATCTTGTCGTGATTCTGACTTGCAACTGCTGTCGGAATTGCTCTTGTCGTCGACAGAAGGCTCCGAAAATTCGCTATCCTCACCAGACGTCCCGTCATCCTTGCTGTCAAAGAGGATATCTACCATTCTATTGTCAGAAAAAAGGCCACGCCGTGTACTCGACGTTGTCATATTCTCCAAGCAGGCGGCGATCGTGCGGGAAAGACGACACACAAAAGAACAAGCTCAAACGAGCAGTGAACAGAGCGACTCTCGCCATCTGTTGGGAATGTATTAACTGCACCACCCAATTCTACATAGCACGCCACGTATGAATGGCTTTCTAAAACCGAAATTTATGCAGCCCGGAGAATTGCCGGTTTTAGCGATGTGGCCCTTGACGACGCGCCTAACGATTCGCTGGCTTTGGCTGCGATTGGCTTAAAAACTTTTCTTTATTACAACCTTTAGAACTTGAATGAAACATCAATTTGTGTGTTGAAGATTATTCTAACATTATTTTAGTGGAATTACTTTTCGGTTTACATTTTATTTCATTCCTAAAATGCCCCTTTGCAGCAGTCCATAATGTCCTTCATCAATCAGCATCTTGTTGCCACACCTAATACCTCTATGTGGAACTAAGCAGCTAGTTCTGTGTTTAAGGAAATCAAACCTGCCGTCGCCCACAAGTGCATGCAAAGCAGGCTTTGCAAAGCATGCATGTTTTTTTAGTTATATAGGTCAACACACAAATCTTAACATAATATTCGCAGTGGTATGAATAAAAGTGAAGTGCGTGCTTGTGCTCTAAAATTACTTTTTGCTGCTCCAAAAGATGCTGCAAAATGACTGGTCAATCGCATCACTGGAACTGTGGCAACCACTTCAGGGAGTAGCTTTGCACATGACTTACAAACATGAAGGTATGAAGAAGAGGAGGCGACATACCGGCTCAAGCCAGCCAAACAAGGAAATCTCTAGTGAAGCCGGAAGTAGAGGTCGCAGTCGATGGGAACAGCCCCAAGGGTGATCAAAAACGCCGTAGGTGCCAAATCGGCTCTCCCTTCCGTCCAATAGTGTCTTTGTTTCATTTGTTCTTAGTCCTCGTCGGGGGCATGTTTCCTTCCAAACTGGAAGTCTCACCCGGCTTCACCTCTGGTGGCGTCATGTCGCCTCCAGAAGCTTTCTACCTCAGGCATACAAAGCATGGGTGTCATGGTAACGTATGGTCATACCGTAAGGTAACTTGACTCCTTCCTTACCAGAGGAAAAGTAGCAGTTATCAATGGATGCGTGCAAAGGCTTTTATTTTCCTAACTAACTTGCGTATAGAACAATAGGAAACATCAAAATGTGGCCAATTGTTCTTTTAAAAGAAACAGAAGTTAGTATAATGTAAAAAAAAGATTTTTGAAGATTTTGTTTCGTGAAAATGCAATGTTTGTGCGGAAGGCATATAAATGTTGAAATTTCTACAGCTGTGTCAAGTTAAACGGCAGATAGGAAAAATTCCAAATATAGAAAATGTGCCCCACACCCACGACCGTTACTTCTGAAAGTTAGTGTATTCTAACTAACGTCTATTTTTGCTTCGTCAGAGAGTTGGCCTCCGTAACACGTATGCTTTTCAACGAAGGAGTGCTTAGATTGGTGACGCACAGAGAGTACACCTCACATCCCCAGCAGAATGCTTCCTTTGTGTTCTGCCTTGGTTTTGTCATAGCCTTGATTGCAGTTGCATTCGAAGGCTTTCATTTTCCTGACTAACTTTCATATGGACCAATAGGACACATCAAAATATGGCCAATTAGTTGTTCTTTCAAAAGAAACGGTGGTTGGTGTAATGTGGAGAAAAGAATTTATTGTTTGAAAATACAATGTATGTGCCAAAGGTGTATAAGTGCCTACACTTCTACAGCTATCAAAATTAAATTACAAATTAAAGAAAAATTCAGAATATACAAAATGGGCCCCACACCCACGGGTATAACTTTTGAAAGTTTGTGTGCTCTAACTGACGTCTATTTTTGGTTCGTCGGAGAGTTAACCTCTGCTTATATTGGTGAAAAACAGATAGTAGTACAATCCCCAGCAGAATCCTTTCTTTGTGCTCTGCCTTGGTTTTGTTATAGCCTTAATTGCAGTTCTTTCATATTCAGGAGTTTTGTCCACCTTGTTGGCAACATCAAATGTGCACGCCAGCTCAGGACAGCAGTGGAAATTATAGCGATTCTTATTGACAACCATCTTTTAAACAATGCCTGTAACATCATTTAAAGTGCCCCCAGAGCTATTGACGTCTAAAAAATGTGCCACAATACAGTTGAATTATGGAAATAATGCCATCTTTGTTACAAAGACCGATGCAGGGAATTTGCGATGTTAGACAGGTGCAACCACCGTTTCCAGGACTATTTTTGACGGCCCATCACCGTGTGATAGAGCTTAAACCTACCTTGAAACTGAAACGAGTGTTCTTCGGCTATCTGCAAGATTGTGGAACATAATTCTCCGCACTAAATTTCATTTCTCGAAGGTTTTTGGAAACCATCGATCACCGGTGATCGATTGCCTATGGGCGTGGTCGGGGAGGAGTGAAGCAATTGTAAATGAATGCTCCCGTGTGAAGGGATATTTAGAAAGTATGGTACTTACGTACATACCAACTCTACTGAATGTAGTACTATTGACAAAGTTTGTTTGTCACAGTGGAATGGGGTCCCTCGGATGTCACTCTAGGTTGCCAGAGGTTGTTCAAGACGAAGAAGAAAAACTGCCCGTAGCGCACAAACTCCAGTGACACGAATGCTAAGAAAACGATGTTTGGAGTAGCGTACGAAAACGGTTTCGAGAGTCGACCTTGTTCGGCAGAATCGTAGTGCACTTTGTTCCCCTTGCTGCTGTGGTCGTTGCACCCTTGACCTCCCACGTGACCCAGACACGTGTACGACTACTGCACGAGCGTGCACCAGAGCGGCAGCCGGACCCCCGCGGCCAAGACCAAGAAGGGGCAGCCCGTGGGGGGTGCCCAGTTCGTGGGCTACGAGCTGTACAAGCGTCTCAAGGAGTTCCTCAAGACCTACCTGGTCACCCTGCTTAGGGTGAGGCCCCGCTCTCCCGCTTGTCATTTGCCCATCCTTCCGGTCATGGCACACTTCCATCGGGAGGGATTCCGAGCGACCAATAGAGGCAGGCCTCGTGTCCTCGAATTGGCCATTGTACGAAGACGAGAGTACCCCAGGGAAATATACAAACTCTAGAGGTATGCGGAGAGCAAGTCGTCTGCTTCTTGTGTGGGGGTTGCGGTGATGTCAGAACAACGCCAAGTTCTGATTGGCTTTGATTGTAAGATGGTGGGTAGACGTCAAAGCAAGCCGATTTGAGGTCTTCCCACTATCCTTCAGTGAGAGCCAATCGGAGGTCGGCATTCTGGCATCACCACAGCCCCTGCAAAAGAGACGGATGAACTCAGGTTCCGCATTGGCTAATTGCAGCTATTCAGGTGTAGCGAGCCTCTGATGCACGTAAGACACTTGTGTAGGCGTGATATTGTTTTGCTTTGGGTGTTTTTTTTTTGTTCCCCTTGGTTTGCAATTTTTGTTTAAAGCTAATTTAGCCATTCAAGCATTCGTTGATTGAATGCCTGGCGAACCCTTTCTGGCCGAGTGACGTCCCAATCGGGTGTTGGTCAATCACAGCGTCACGTGCATTTACGTGAGGCCGCAATCATCTGGCACCCGATCAGGTTCGGCCCTCTTTCTGACAGGTTGGACGTTTGGTCGTACGTGGGTATGGCCCAAATGGGCTCCTAGTGATTATCACCCGTTGGGTGGTACAAAAAAACTCGCGCGAGGAAGCCATTTTGCGGTCATTGATAAGCTGAAAGCGGCGGTCCAGGCACTGGTGTGAGGCACTTCCAAAGAGTGGTTACATCATTGTGCAGCGATTAAATTAATTATACATCAATACGTCACGCTACGATTCGGCTACTTTCTTATTTTCACTGTTCCGCGTGTTTGTGAGAAAATGGAGCGCCTGGGCAGAGGTACAAATGCACTTCTATTTGCCACCGAAGCGGGGGAGTGATTTGTGGAGTGACGTACCCTTCCTTCCTCGCAGGATGGCATCGACCTGATGGATGAGGATGTGCTGCGGTTCTACACAAAGGAGTGGGAGGAGTACCAGTTCTCGAGCAAGGTGCTCAACGGGATCTGCTCTTACCTGAACAGGCACTGGGTCAAGCGGGAGTGCGACGAAGGACGCAAGGGCATCTACGAGATCTACCAGGTTGGACCTTCCACAGTTCCCTTTCTCCCTCCCCCTCTCGCAGTTGTCTGCCACATCGCCATGGTCCCTGGGTTCGGAACCGGATCGCTCGGAGAACTTGAAGGACGGACATGGATTCGGATTAGGAAGTCGCCGAATACGTCTACCGTATTTTCCGGTCTATAAGTCGCACCTTTGTATAAGTCGCAACCCCCATAAAAGTGGTCGTTTTTATGAAAAAGTTGGTATACAAGTCGCACCTTTGTATGAGTCACACTTTTTGTACAGTCTGTGCGGCATTGCTAATCCCGTGTTACATGTATTGTGATCGCGACACGTACGGAAGCTGGAGCCAATTTCGGCAATGAATCAAACGAGAAAAATAACTGCTGCGGCAAATGCAATTCTATACGCCGGTGCTCGCGTGTACAAGCCACCAATGTTGCCGGGCGCAGATTGAGGGAAAGCCGAACCTCGGTAACCAAAGGCTATGCCCGACGGATTCAGGCCCGTTGCGATGTAGCAGCACAATAAATATACTATCGAAAATGAGACGCGAGTAGAGGCATGTTAAAAAAAAATTAAGAATAGACCCACCTGCGGTCGAACTATGCGATGTCAATTGTGCTCCAGTTTATTGTATGCATTTCGTTCGTTAGGGTTAAACAAAACCATCAAAGTCCTCTTCTTCCGAGTCGGTAAGGAATAGTTCAGCGATCTCGGGGTCTAGCGTGGTTGGTGTGTCTTCATCGTCGTCCTCCGACTCGCTGCTGATGCTTGCTTCATCGGCGTCGCTCCCAGGCACAGACTCAATGAGGCCAGCTTTCTTAAAGTCGGCTACCACCGTTCCCACGGAAACAGAATTCCAAGCCTCTTCAACCCATTTGGCCACCTCGCCAAAAGACGCGTGTCTCATGCGTCCCGTTTTGGTGAAGCTATGGTCTCCGTCGGTCATCCACGACTCCCATATTCGTCTCAGAACAGCTTTAAAACTTCGGTTGACGGAAATGTCTAGTGGCTGAAGCATCTTGGTCATACCGCCTGGGATTATCGTTGGAACGCAGTTCTTGGATTTGATCTTTTTCTTAATCAAATCGGTTAAATGGGCCCTCATGCTGTCCATTACCAAAAGGCCCTTGTGTGTGTGAAAATGTCCACCAGGTCGCTGGGAAAAGCATCTGTCTAGCCACACACCCATCATTTCTTCATCCATCCACCCTTTGATGTTGCACTGTACGATGACTCCGGGAGGAAACGGATCCTTTGGCACTGTTTTTCTTTTGAATATTAGCATTGGCGGGAGTTTCGTCCCGTCGGTGCAACAAGCCAGTACCACAGTAAAATGGGACTTCTCATGGCCGGTCGTCCGGACCGTAACGGTCTTCTCGCCTTTTCCGTTCACGCTCCTTCCCATAGGGATGTCAAATGTCAATGGAACTTCATCCATGTTCACAATGTTCCAAGCAGCTACATCATGCTCCTGAATTTACTTCTGCACAAATTCCCGAAAGCTGTTGAGCTTCTGCTGAAAATCATCCGGCAGTTTTTGGCACATTGTTGTTCGGGCCCTGATGGATAGGGGGTTGCGTCTCATGAAACAAAAGCACCATGACGGGTCGCCTGTAAAGTTGACCACGTTCATGTCTTTCGCTATTGTCACGGCTTTCAGGTGCACTTGCACTGTCGAAAGTCCCCGGCCTTCAGCTCGCTGTTCCAGTATCCATGTGCGAAGACGATCCTCAAGCTGCGGCCAGCGCGCCTTTTTACCACGATCAGCTTTCTTGGTTCCTTTCATTGAACGCAGCAAGTTCCCAGCTTTCCGCCAGTCCCTGATGATTTTTTCACTCACGTTGAATTCTCGCCCGGCAGCCCGGTTTCCATTTTCGGTGGCATATGCAACATACGCTAAGCTTGAACTTTGCTGTGTAGCTGTTTTGCATCCTGGACGGTGCCATGTTGCTGCGGTGCTCGACACGGGTGAAAACACAGTAGGCACGTCGCATGTTCCGGGATGGCGGGGCACAAAGAAAGAAAAACAGGTATGGCGACCGGAAGTTGACGCCGGAAACGCCGGGACGCCGGGAACTTCGTGGTCCTTGACGGTGACCGCACACCGCACTCCTTCCGGATCCGTGTGGACTCCGAAACGCTCGGCCTACCGGAACTAAGAAAAGTTGTACGTCAAGAATGGCATTTCCTGATTTTTTTTTTTTTTTTTTTGTTTAAAAAGAGTTGCGCGTTAGCATTTGAGATGCAAGAGATTCCATTGTTGACATCAATGGAATCTCGTCCGTTGAATTCCACCATCAACGTCGACGGACGATATTACACCATCGACGCATATGAGTCGCACCGCTGTATAAGGCGCACCGCCAGAAATTTTTGAAAAAAACCGCAACTTATACACCGGAAAATACGATACTCTTTCATAGAACGTCGAAGAGATGGGCAATTGGGAATGCCATCTATACTTGAGATTTTGGGGATCGAAGTATTCCAGGATTGAAACACCGCATAACAAAACATCATCCTTGAACCGAATTTTTAATTATTTATGCTTTTGTTTTTTATGTGCATTGGTGCCTTTTGTGGTGACAAAATTGGTTAAGGCGAAATTGCCAAAGTTTCTAGACGAGCAAGTAGTTCATCTAAGGGCTGTGGCGTCGCCTCTTAAACGGACATTTGAAGGTGGTTTGCTATGTGCACATTTTGTCCAGCTGGCACGAGTTCAGCTCAGTTCAGTTTGTCAGTCCTCAAAAGTTGCACTGTCCAGCAACATGAAAGACCCATTCATCCAGGCAGTTTATGCAGCAGTGCTAGACGCACATTGGCCAGGGGCGCTTTATTTTTGGAGAGAGAATAGAGCGAAGGTTCATTCATTTCCTTACCCCAGGCAATGTAGGCCTAGCTAAAGCGAGTCCTGTGCAAGGGGCCTGAAACTGCCTCTTTGAGTGGGTCTTCCGCATTGTTGAAGCCCTTACTTCCAGTGAAGTGCATTACGTGTGGGTGGATCTAAAGAATAAGATTGAAGTGTGAGGGTTGCCAACTAGCAGGGAATAATTGTGAACGAGGTTAATATAATACGGACAGCATAAAAAGCAGCGAAACAAAATAAAAAAAAACAGCAGGTGTTACCAGTTAGTCATTTTGGTTAATGAAAAATGCTTTTTAGGTGTCCCTTGCAAATGTCACATAACTTTGTATTGTTTTTTTCACTCATTTTTTTTTTAATTTTTTTAAATTTTAGTTTTGAAGCATTTTGGGGTATTCTGAAGCATTACAGAGGTTTAGTGTTGAGTATGATTTATTTCAGGCAGTAAATTGTAATCAGTAACGTGCAAGAAAGTAGCAAATATTTAGATTTATTAATTTTCACAAATAGAGGATTGGAAAGGACTACACTTTGGTACTCTTAGCAGGGGGGTCTTGTCTCGTCATCTGGGTGATGGGGCAGACCTCTTGACCTCCCATCTACAAGATGCAAAAGGGGTCGGTGGTTGTGTCCCACTCATGAGGGCGGTCGTAGTCTCGTGCCACGTTAGGTAGGAGGAACCTTTAATTTCGCGAAATTCCTGTGGTTCTTGATAAGTCTGCAAACAGGCGACATCAGTAACCTGCTAGACAAGTTACATTAACTAGGTCAGTAGAGGGGGGGGAGGGTGTGGTTACAGTATAGTGTAATTTATTTTTATTATAGCCATATCTTTACTATGGTGTGCTCACTGCTGTTGACATCTGCAGATATCTGTTACTTGACCACTTTTTTGCCTTTGGAACGTGCACAAAAAAGACGTCTGCCAGCCCACTCATGGAGGATGGAACCATCACTGCAGCAGTCTCATTTACAGTATAGACCACTTACAACGTAATCGCATATAGTGCAGGACCGGGTATAACGCGGCTTTTTTAAACCACCGGTGCACCTCCCATAGAACTCCATGTAATTACATACCGCTTAAAATGCAGGCGCGCGAAGGGAAATACCGGTTATAGTGCGGTTTTTGGAACAGCCCGCCGACCGCGCCGACCAACCGGCGCAGCGAGCACGCTTCCCTGTGCGACACTAGATAACGGCGCTAGCCGCAAGCGGCACTCGCGGGGCAAGGAGGTTGCCCGAAGAAGCGGGGAGAAGCAAGAGAGGCTTCAGTTGCCATAGCGATGGAAAGACGCACGCACGTGTCGTTCACGTCCCTGCGTCCCTCCACTGCGTTGGAAACAACCGCAACGACAGACCAATCGCAAGTCGAGGAGAAGTGTTCGCGCGCGTTGTATGCCGGTCGCGGGCCGGCTTCTTCTATCCGGAAACATGGCGTCGCTTGTAATCGTCGACGTAGACGGCGTGGTGGAAGCTCATCGTTCCGCGTAAAAGCGCTATCCTTGAGTGTGAATTTTCGTTGTGTGTCGCTATGATAACCCAGCACGTACTAGAAGGGAAGATCCACCTATTCGTGCGGCGATGTCGTGGCGGCACTCTCAAGACGGCAGAAACGCCCGTGTCGTCGTGTTTGTTTATTTCGACTACAGTGGTGCTTTCTAAGCATTTGTGTTTTCGAACATCGCCCGGATTTCTTATTTGGAGCATTTCATGCACAGGCTCAAGTTGAAGGTATTACTGGCGCGTACTGTATAAAGGATGCGAATTTTCACGCTTTTTCATCACCGGAGAAAAGTGATTAGGGTTAGCAATCCTGAACGCTCGCAACGTCCGTCCTCAACCCGCGACGCCGTTAAAAGGCTGCGCCAGGCAAGTCGCTCATTTCTTTCAAAATGTGTGACACACTTGAGAGAGAAGTGTACTAGTTTGGTGAAATGAAGACTTTCCTCAAACTAAGCTTTATTTTTCATCTAACATAAAATAAATTGTTTTACAAAGGTAAGTTGTCTCATGGCATGTATTTTGGCCTGAAATATTGATGTTTTGGTTACAGCGAGGTACCGCTTATAGTGCGGATTTTCGCGACTCCCGCGACATACGTTATATGCGGCCTACACTGTACACCCAATCTCGTTGCATTGGGCAATAGGTTATCTGAACAACAGTGGGTACACCAAATATTTGTTTGTTTTATTCAAACACGAAATGTGAATGCAGTCATGCTCTAGCTGTAAGACGTCGCCACCCAGAACTGCGCCACTGCCGCATTGTTAATAATAGAGGCTGTCTACCAATGTCAAGGGATGTAATGACCCTGTTGAGGGAGAGCAAATAAAACACTGCAGAGGTCAAGAAAATTTGAGGAAAATGTTTTTTTTATTGCATTCTTTCCTCGACACCCCAGCTCAGCTCAAGAATATAATTGTACAAATAGTATTAAAAAGATCAAACCTAATTCTTTTTTCTTTTTTTTTAAGGTTACAGGAAATAGGATAGCATGCCACACTTGCTCCTCCCTGTGGCAACCTTGGTTACCCCCGTATGAGTGACATCCTTCGTTTGAATGCTTTGTTTCTCTCGTGCAGTTGGCGCTGGTTTCCTGGAGGGATTACTTCTTCAAGCCTCTGCACAAGCAGGTAGGTGACCTGCACATTTTCCGCCAGTGTTCCTCCCTGCTTTCGACACTGGTTCCCAACACGCATTGCATTGCTTCAGAAGCAAGACATTACTGTTACTGCTTCACGAAAGCTACCGATTGTTTCATTTATGTTGCATGCCTCTAGTTTTGCCTAGAATTTTGTTAGGGTCATCTCTACATGGAATAAAACCATCTACTAGGCGAATCTGAACAAATTTTACTGTACAATCATTTTGGACAAGGGCATAGTTGCTGTGCTAGAACATTTATATCTATAAGTGAGTAAGAAGAACTGGCATTCCACTGTTCCAGACAGTGTAATGTGTTTTCATTTGCATCATTTCCAAATTTTACACCTAGTGTTTTTCTTTTTGTTATTTTTAATGAGAGCAAGTGGAACATACCAAAAGCAGCTTGATTGCGAGAGCTCACATTTTGAACATCTCTCCCCAGGTCACTAATGCAGTGCTGAAGCTTATAGAGAAGGAGCGCAATGGGGAACTCATCAATACTAGGCTTGTCAGCGGAGTGATGAACTGTTACGGTGAGTTTTTTTTTTTTTTTTTTTTTTTTTTTTTTTTTTGTCAGAAATTATGTAAGCCTTTGAAGTAACCTGGAAAAGTTGTGCAGAGCTGTTGCAGTAGCAGAGAGACTGAGTTTAGCCCTTTGTTTTGTCTCTCTAGTGCAAACAAATCTGTTGAAAGACAGCTCTCTGCACTTGAGGAAGAAAGAAGTACAAGAACAGTGAGAGAGATTATGTTTGCACCAGCAGAAGACGTTCTCGGGGGTAAACATCATCTCAGCTATGAGTTTTGTTTATCGTAGCACCCTCGTAATCTCAACAAAAATGATGTACCCTTCGTGGTATTTCGTCTCCCCTTTCTCCAAGGCCAAGTCCTTCTTAGCAAAAAACTGGGCAGTCGCAGAAAAGGCTAGGCTGCAACAGTGGCAGCCATCAACACCCGTGTGGAGCAATGCTCCAATGACCTCGGTGACATGATGTCACTGTTACCCTTTTAAAGAAACAAAGTTGTTTGCTGTTTAACAGTTCACTTTGTCGCAGCTATAATGTTACAAGCACGAGCATCAATGGATTTTGGTCGGTGTATAGGTGCGGAAAAGTGCAGAATTTTCAAAATCGGTTAAAAATTCATTATTCCTCTTCTCTTTTTCTGACGTGAAAGGACACTAAAAAGCATTATGGCAGTGAAGCTGTTTATGGCTAGGGTTTTGTGGATTTTTGTGTGCATTGACTAAAAACTATGCTCGCACCGCCGCACAGGCACGCCTTCCCTATATAAAAGATTCAAAGTAAATAACCAAAATAAAGCGTTGACGAACGCACGTGCATGATGCCATTTGTTTTAGGCCTTTGCTTTAGAACAGTTACTGCTGCAGACGCCGGTGCGTGCGGCGCTAGGAATACTATTCCCTCATCCTCCTTGATGCTTGGGTAATTTTGAAATAGGTCTATTCAGTAGATTAGTTATCAATAGGCACCATTTTCAAGATCAGTAGACTCTCGGATAGATAATAAAGGTTTCTCAACGATTTGCCACTGTGCGACCTGCGTCGGCCAGGTCTACACTCGCACCGCCCTTTCTTTGTCGTCGTTCCAAGTGCTTGCGTGCCTAGTTTTCTTTCTTTCCGCTCTCCCAGGATAGTGGTCCCGTCGTGCATGTCTACTTTACACCAGGTGGTGGTCTTGTCGCACGTGTCTAGTTTCCTCCGGCTTCTCGGGACGGGTCTGTGTCGTGTGCTAAACAGATTCGCTGGTCATCCTCCATCGCAGAGTGGAATGGCTCATAATATTTTGACCAGAGTCCCTCTTCTAAATTGATTTGTAATGCTTCACTGCTTGTTTGCATCGTGGTATCTTCATTCCCTCCATCGGCACCGATACCTTAAGAACGAAACAGTCGTTGAGTGCAAGCTAACACTATTTTAACCTTTGGTTCACAACTAGTCTGGGTTTGCCTTCAATCGGGGCCGATCGGCGCAGAGAAAGTCTTGGAACTCTGCAACTAACTTAAAGACGGTGCCACAGCAGGCATCTTGAGGGATAGTGTATAAATGTTTCTGCTGCCATTATACATACCATAAACCAGCGTCTAGATAAAGCAAAGCTCTCGAACGAGGTGAAAATTGTGCCCCAACAGTGGAGCTGGGCCTGAACGAGGACGAGCCTTCGGCCAAGGGTCCCAACCTGTCGGTGTACAAAGACGCATTCGAGAACACCTTCCTCGAGGACACAGAGCGCTTCTACAACCGGGAGAGCATGGAGTTCCTCAGGCAGAATCCCGTCACCGAGTACATGAAAAAGGTATCTGCCACTCCTCCCTTCGCTCCTTGGATCTGAGGACACCAATTTTCTCGGTCATCTCTTGCCGGGTTCCTAGACCAGTCAAACGCCGAGTTGGGACTGAAGTTTACAGAGTAAACTAAATATGACAATAAAAATTATTCCAAGCCTCCTACCGACTAGTCTAGTCACTCGTCGTTATATTCTAGGAAAAGAATTGTGACATTTTAGTACTCTTTTGTAACCATTTTTTTTTTTCTTGCTACTACTATACCCGTTTCCACCTGAAGTAAAAGGCAAGCTTTGCTCATTGTTCATGCGCGGTGCGGACTACCTAGTTCTTACGAGATTTGGTTGTCGGAGTAAAAGGCAATGCTTTTGACGTTTGGAACGCACACGTCTTCATAAAATAACATATATATCATGTAAAACAAACCTACATATGTCCTAATTATCCACATATATATGGAGAAATTAGTAATGCTCTGCGAAGAGCCTGACTTTTTTTTTTTTACTACAGTTCTTGAGGTGAAAATGGGTATGGTTGTGTGTAATATCTTTGAGAAACGAGGCTCTAATGTGGCAAAAAATTAACCTTTCTGTCTAAAGTTGGTGTACCCTCGTAAGTTGCATGCCTTGTATATTCTGCCTATTTTATTGATATAGCTCAAATATTTAGAAAGTACACCCTCAAAGGGAGTGTTTACCTTTAACCTCTTGCCTACTAACAACAAGTCTCATTTGTGCCATCCAAAGCCTAAAACCCGACCACAAGTACGACTTGTGTTTCAGTTTCGGTGCGTGTTTAGCACGCCCTCCGGCAGGTAGCAAAACCACCCCTCTTGCTCGTTTTACCTTGGGTTGTTTGCTCGTTTGTTTTGCTGTTTGACAGAGAAAAAACACTTCATTCAACCTAAAAAAAAAAAAAAAAAAAAAGCAGTTGCTCATAAGCATTCACGCTAAAGCAACGTGGCTTGGTGCGGAGGTCCGCTTTAACCGACGAAGAGGTACAAAACCTTTTTTTGAAAGTGCGTGACGACAAATCCTGCAGCCGTTACAATTTTCTGGAATTGGGCGATAGTCTGATGGACTGTGACAGGAGCGATGAGAACGATGCGAATCTGGCAAGCATGCCAGTACCTTCGGCGTCTGCGTGTCGGTGGGACTCGGAGCAGAAGTCCCGATTTAGAGCAATACTACACGTGAAAGTAGAGGAAATCTTTTTTTTGTCTTATTTTGATGCAAATTGTTTGTTTAAAATAAAAGTTTGCTGTACATTCTTTGAAGAAACAAAATGAGTAGAGAAGGGGTTAGTTGTACAATTTTATAATTTTCTGCAATTGGTTCTCAACAAAGGTTGGTTTGTTCCACGGTACATCGTTGCGTAGCCCGGTCACGCCTAACCTCTGCTTTAGCTGGAGAAGGACCAACACCTAGGTGGTAGAGAGAGCGGGGAGATTCTGATGGGTTATCCTGAGGAACTCTGTAGTTCCTAGTGAACCTAGTTTTAGGACCCAGATCCACACAGCACCTCAAAGAAGTCAAGTTTGTCATCAGTGCATCCACTGCTGTGCAAGAGATTCCCCAAAAGCTTTTTAAGCAAAAAAGCAAAAAAAAAAAAAAATCTGAATTTTATTTTGCCAGTAGTGTTTTAGTGTTTGAATGTATTCTGAAGTGCATTCTGGCACACACTATGGCTCCCAGAATGTTCCTAGAACATTCTGGGGTATTCTGAAGCCTTCTAAAGGGTGGTGTTCCATGGCAGGCGGAGCAGCGGCTGACGGAGGAGCAGCGGCGGGTGCAGCTGTACCTCCACGAGACGACGCTGGAGGCCCTGGCCAAGACGTGCGAGAAGGTACTCATCGAGAAGCACCTCGAGATCTTCTACACCGAGTTCAAGAACCTGCTCAACGATGACAAGAACGACGGTACGAGCTTCGCATTCACTGCTGCCCTCTTACAACGGTGTCCCCCCGCGTCACTGTCGCCACCCGGATACTTGCTTAGTCCGTAACACGATCGAGCTTACGGGCAGAATTGGCCCTTCGGCCAGGTCTGCAAGCCAATTGTCATCTGTGGTCATTTGGTTTACTGATTTAATTTCTGGGAAATGAACCCTTTGTTCATCCGTGAATGCTCTCTTCATTCGTGCAACAAGCAGAGATTCTTTTTTAGGGGCGAAGCTCCTTAGGGTCTAGCCTTGTCTGTCTGGCACCCGTGCTCACATCAATCTTGCTGGTGCTCGTGCTCGTGCTCGCGATCGTGCTCGTGAGCTCACGTGCTCGTATAAGGCAAAAAAAAAAAAATATGACTGAAAAAAAAAAAAAAGAAATGTTTGTGCAGTCGGCAGGATTTGAACCTGTGCGGGGAGACCCCAATGGATTTCTAGTCCATCGCCTTAACCACTCGGCCACGACTGCGGGACGAGTAGGGGGCTCTGAGATGCGGTAGTAACTCAAGAGCTGGGGATGTCATGGATGAAACGTTGCATGTAGCCGCTCAACGTCTATACAGGAGAGGGCGCTGCGGTCAAATGCGTATATAATCGCGTTAAACTTTGCATGCATAGGCTCAACGTTTATAGACGGGAGGGCGCTGCGGTCAAATGCTCAAATGCGTGTATAACCACATTCCATACCACACATTCTCTTTCTGACATGGATGAAAACGAACGAAAGGCTCAGCATGCTGCGGCTCAGCGTCTACGCAGACAGGCACCGCCAGAGCTTCGCCCCAATCAACATCACTCACCACGTGGAGATGCGGTCATTTTTTTTTTTCTTTCTGAATTGTAATATTTTTAGTAGGCATTGGCACTCTATCAATTTTTATCTTTAGTATACCCTAGCATTTCTTTTACAATACCGTCTTCCTGTAATAGGTAACATTCATGGCTCTCTTTGGCCTTGGCAGCCTTTGTACCGTTAAAACCAAAAAAAATCAATCGGATATAAATGACTGTACGTCCTGCAAAGCCGTATCTTTCCAAGTTGCAGTATCATTTGGCGCTTTTTTTTTTTTTTACAGTGGAGCTGTTAAAGGGGCCCTGCAATTACTTTTTTACTAATTTTTAATTTGCACCGAACCTGAGCGCACTGAACGTAGTAACTTAGTGAAACTTTTCTTTTCTCGAAATTTTCTTTATTATAAAAGTTATAGGCAAATTAAAATTACAAAAACAAGCAAAAAATAACCTCCCTCATGACGTCCTTGGTTGCTTGAGAGTGGCCGTGAACTAGAGAAGAAGTAGTGAGCTCATCGAGCGCTCACGGCTGCCGCACTCCGTGCCGACGGCGCGAGAGGGCGCCATTAAAGCGTGTTCTGGATAGGCTGTATGCAGCGGGCAGCCAGAGCGGCTCTCAATGCATTTGCTGCGCGATTAAACACTAATTCGGCATGACACTTCATTGGCAACGAACGACAGCAAATACGGGGTAAAGATCAGTTCAGAATGGGAGCTACTTTGCGCTGCCATACCGCGAAACAACCAAACCGCAAGACAAAGCTTCTCGCCGAAGGCCTTCGGAACGCTCGGAGCCGGTTGGATCCTCCTGCTCATACGACCGCAGCGCCACTGCGTACATCCGGGACCTTTCCGTGTCGACGCCTGATCCCACTATTCCTTTCGAGTATGCGCCGCCTTTTCCACCGCTTGGTGGCGGGTATGTCGACGGGTCATATATTGTTTCCATACTTTATGAACTGCATTCGTTTCTTTTTTGATCTAAAATATTGAACAAAAACTACTTTTATAAATAAATTAAACGGTTTGCACCACTTATATTTTGTATTTCGACTAAAAAGAAGCTTTTAGCGGCTCTGACCAGTAGTAAGCCCAGGACCAAATTCGTCACATTTTGCGCGCTTTCGGTACCGTGGGTCGCCCCTGTCGGTAGAGGAGGTTTCTGCATCGTCCGGTTAAAATATGATGCGCTGATATTTAGTTACTCTCTCCGTGCCCGCTGGCTTGCCTGAACCCCAAGAGACGTGGAAACCGCAAAAAAGGCAGACACTTAAATATGATTGCAGGGCCCCTTTAAGGGCTAGGTTTTCCAGGATCGTGTCCGTGTATGTTGTCACAAATCTACCTGGACAGTTACCGCCATCTATAAGCGACGGCGACAAGCACACAACCAGTATGGTTTCCGCCGTCGCTCGTAGATGGCGGCAACCTTTCCAGCTATAATAGAAGAATGGATAGTTGGGCGCATTGGTGGGAATTCATCATAGGAAACAGCGCGAAAAACAGACGACGACGAAGAAGAAGCACACAGTGTATCGAGTACAGCCTCGCTGGTCTTTCTTCTTCACGAGAGTGGAAAGGCTGAACGTTTTTTTGTCTATCTACTTTTTTGGCTTCGTTGCATTGTCACAAATGAAAAAAGAGATTAGTTCAGAACTGAAAATAATGTACAATGAGGCAAACTTGTGCCTACAAATTTAAGAAGAAAGGCTCAAAACATCTTGCGTCTTTGACAGAAGGGTGACTGTCCTGAAGGCAGCCCCTTACCTCTGCTTTTATACACTCGGCTAGTTCAAAAATGTTCCAAACTAGAACTCACAACGACAGCCGAGAATGTTCTAGAATTTTAGAGTAGTGTACAGAATTATTGAAGAGGGAACGAGGTCGAGCGTTCCCCCTCCCGCAGCACGAGGGTCCAAGCTCGTCTGTCGACTTTCGTTTTTGCGAGCTGTTTTAAGCGGGAAAAAAATGGGAACAGCGATGGGGCGTTCTGCTTCGTCACAATTCATTCTGAGATTGTGATCTTCTCGGAAGCGGTGTCCCGTTGTTGGGCCCTTAAAGGCTCGTTGCTTCCTATCGTCATCTGTCCCAAAGTGTTTTTTTTCTTTAACCTGAGATACCTCGCTCGCGGAGATCTAGGGAAAAATAGTAGTTATGACGACGACCCAAATTGCCTCGCCGCTATTCTTGGACGGAACCCAGATGTGGTCTAAAGGATTGCTCTTACAGGGGAAAGGGTTGATAAGATAAACTGTGTGATGACAGGTCACGCAGTGACACCGTTTTATTTATTTATTTATTCTTTCTAATCTTAGAGAGTCTTACGACACAAAACTGTGTTCTACTCTGTGGCTTGTTTACTCTGCAGTATATTTCAGCGCAGTGCAGTTTCTGAGAACTCGTGCATGGCTTTGATAGGTAGAAAACGTGCACACTTACCGTTCTACATTCTGTGGAGGTTATTGACCTCAATTCGTAGTTCTAGAAAAGTGGAAGAACAAGTTTTGGCGGCTTTTTTTGCCAGGAATGGTGCCTGAAGTCCTTTTGCCTTCAGAAGTAGGAGGTGGGGTACCATTGATTTGTGCGGTAGAACCTCGTCAGAAAGTTACCCGTTTGTGTTTTTCTTGTTTTTACGTCCACAAACGCTGGTCTTATTGGCCTCCTAAAGCGATATAGGTGTAATAGCTTTCTGTTTGTTGCATCTGCTTTCCCCGTCATTACATCTAAAAACTAATTTAACGCAATGATTTCAACATCTCTTTTCCTTTTTGCTCCGCTCCTACCTTCTTGTAGCGATAGTTGTTGGCGGCTCATCCCACCACTGGGATCTTGATGTTGTGGTAGTTTGTTGTTGTCGCCATTGTAGTTGGCAATGTAGGACGTCCGTCGTCAATGTCGCGAAATCCTCGAAAAAGATGCCCGCCACCAGCGGAAGTCGATTCTGGGTCCGCTGCGTGCGATGCGGATACCACAACCGCTCTACACCTAAGGTTTTTTGTTGTACCATAAACCGCTGCGCGTGCTCTGGAAAAAAAAAATTGTGTAGCACTGTTAGTGCTACACCACCAAGAGCATGTGCCGGGAGACGCAATTTCACGCACTCCGGAACAAAGAAAGAAACGGAAGCGTTCGAAGTAAAATGGTCATATATCTATTTTGTTCCATATGCGTTTTGTTCACGCACAGTGCGTGAATGCGACGCTGATGCCCATTGACTTCGCTGTGACTTGTCGCAGCTATCGATGTGACAGTACTGTGGATTAACGCGGGACTGATCAACTTTTTTTACCTCTGCCTCCCTGCACTGGCGAGACCTTGGTCTAAACTGAAAGGGATAGAGGGTGTTGCAGGGGTGCATTCAGGGCAGTTACACGACTGCATGAAATCACATGGCACGCTTAAGTATGTGGCCGTGACGTCACGTAACATCATGGTGACATAAGCGTGTCCTGTGGCATTGCGATTTAAGCCCCTTCGCATAAAATTGAAAGGTGCGGAACTCTGTGTTTTCAACGTCTCGGACAACTCTAAAGCCCCAAAAGTCGGAGGGGTGTGTACGCAGAAAAGAAGTCTAAAATCGCCAAAAAGTCGAGAAGCCGCGTTATGGGCTTTAGTTGAGCCAGTTGCTTTGTGCTTTGGTGGACGGCTAACCAATATAGATGAAATGCGAAGGTACGGAAAGGGTGCAGCAGTGTCCTTGTTTGTTCGCGACCTTTGTGTTTGTGGGTTATTCCCCAACATCGATGGCAGTGTACTCTTTGCGTCGTCGCGCACGAGGGTTTACGAGAGGGGATAACTCTTTCTGCCTTCTTCCTCGCCATCTCCTCCCTCGCATCCCCTTTGGGGAGTTCTCACTCAACAGACCAGTCGGTGCAAGGCGGTTTTCCCGCCTGCACTTTTTTCTTGTGTTATTATTGCGGTCGCTGAAGGAACCCGGGGCGACCGCTCTGCCGGTAGCGTGGCTGCGCTGTGGGATGGTTCTTGAAAATGGGCCTGTATTCGTTCAACTATATCTGTAACTTGACCCCAGCAGTTGCCAAGAAGAGCAGTCCCGCCCTGCGGCCACGCTACTGGAAGAGCAGTTGCCGTACCGGGTTCACTCACTGACTGCAACGAGCACCAGTAGCAGTACCAGTTCCAAGAGGCGTTCATTAGAACGCCAGTTTCCTAAACACACCGTGGCCG